AAAACTTTGCTGACAATGTAAGGCACTGTTTCAAATCCCAAACACTAGATAAATAAGGAAGTTATTCCCTTGTCAACCCCTTCAAGCCTAGAAGTTGGAGTTTCTTTCTATACCAAATAACTGCAATCTTAACCTTGGGATTGGTAGTTCCCAGTTAACTTGTTTGTGCGTTCATGTAAGAAACCTTTCATATAAAGGTTGTATTCATAAATTTTCCATCGCACACAATAAGCAAGTGTCGAAGATGTCTTTCAAGTTAAAACCCAATGATGGTTCATCGTTATCATTAAGATAGGAAGTCACTCTCTTTCTTACAAAAAAGAAGAAGAAGAAAAATCAAAAGAAAAGCCCACTATGTCAAAATCTATGAAGGAGACTTAGGAAAACTGGGGCATCCCGATGAGTATAAGCTTCAAAAGAAACAATTCAGGCAAAAGTTAGGGATAATAAAAAGAGAAGATCTTGAAATACTTATCATGAAAGTCCTCAATGGCAAAAAACAACTAAATGTTATAAGTAGTGACTACCATCTCAAGAGTCTCTTAACTTCTGAACCGTCATTATTACTATCATCAGTGCAACTCCCAACCTCTGGGAACTTGAGCATATAGTCTAACTTAATTGAGTGTAGGATTGAAGATCATCACGAAGATTGGGTGGGTACAAAAAAAACTTTGAGCCTTTATCCTTTGTTTCATAAACCGTGAACCAGGCCACGTTACAACCCTAAAAAGACCTAACTGAAGCAAGGTTATTTTGAAAGCATACTACAACAAGGTTGCGTAAAAAGAATCCGAAAATATCTTTGCAGATCAATTATTTTGGTATTAAACCTTTGTTTTACCTTTCACTTTGAATGTCTTGAACCACCGTATTTTGACTAATGACTCAATTGTTTTGCATCTTTCTAGAAATGATTTTGATTTTAACGGTTGCATGAACTTTACATTAAAATTACGATGTTTATACGAATACTTATGTTTGCAAACTGGCTTTCCTCTCAAGGAATTTTTAAATAGTGAAAAACTTTTTTGGTGATCCTGTTAGGGGCAAGTTTTTTCCAAATCCTATTGTGATTCAGTTCAAGATTTGTCGTTCAGTGCAAGTCCTCCTCATAATTGGTTTATCCAGAAGACCTTTCAAGACTATACCGGGGAAATCTTTTCAAGCGCATAGTGAAGTAGTCATATCCAAAATTAGTCAAGCTGAAGCAATGATCGGGTTATCTATAACAGTCAGCTAATCTGGGGTAATTTACTTGAAGAATTCCCAAGCAGCTCTTCATCATTCCTCCAAGGATCATCAACTTGGTACAACTTACTAGTATGGTAGAGATGTGTTCAGCAATAGTATCTTTAGTCTTTGAGCAGAAAGGCAGTGATATCCGTGTTGAGAAATCAGTCTTCCAGTCTTGTCTTCTCCCCAAAAGAGTTGAGCCATGTCGTCCACATTTGCATTTACATTTGATCAAATATCATAAAATAATTCATATACCATATGCATAGTAAGAGTGTTTCATCCTCATTTTCATTCACCATAGATCATTTGGTATCCACGTATTACCTTGTGGTCAAAGTCCAACTCACTTGGAACCTACCAAACAAATACTTTTATGCCTTATCTGATGTTCCACCAGATTCGACTTTTCCTATCTGATTTCTTTTCTGGTTGTGTCTTGTTCGTTCTGACGTATTTTCAGAACTTTCTCTTTGTGTTATCTGACGTTTTTTCAAATATTCCTTTTGTGTTCTGGCGTATTCCCATAACTTTTTCTCTTTGTGTTATCTGACGTTTTTCCAGATATTCCTTTTATGTTCTGACGTATTCCCATAACTCTCTCTCTTTGTGTTGTCTGATGTTTTTCCATATATTCTCTTTGTGATTCCGATGTTTTTTCCAAAATTATTTTACTTTTTATCTGAGGTTTTACCGGATATATTTTTCTCTCTTTAACATCCAATGTTATTCTTGGATGTTGTAATCCCTTTACATCTAGTTCCATTCTTGAATATTGTGTTTCCTTTCATCCAATGCCATTCTTGGATGTCGGATGTGTTTATCTCTCTGATGATTTTTCAGATTGAGTCTTTTGTTTTGATGTTTTTCCAGATATTCCCTTTAACTCTGATGTTTTCTAGAGGTTTCCCTTTGATTCTAATGCCCATCCTGAATTTGTTTTATTCCCAGTGAGTTTCCAGATATATATACCTTTATAATTATGATACATTCTCAGAGTTTCATTTATTTTACCGTCTAATGATTTTCCAAATGTGCCTTATATTCTGATGTTTTCCAAAATCCCTTTGTGTCTATCTAACGTTATTATAAATACGACATTGCTTCTGATGTTTTTCCAGAACCTCTTTTGTGTTTGTCTAACGTTTTTCCAAATACGACCTTGTTGATGTGATATTCTTCCAGATATGATGTTGTTATTTGATATTCTTCTAGATATGTCTTCAAAACTTTTTCTCGTATATTTAAAGTTTTTTTAAACATTTCGGATGTAGCTTCAGAATCTTTGTCTTCACCTAATGCTATTATGGACTATTTCAATTCATTTATGACTATGGTTAACATCTAATGCTTTTAAGTCTATTTCCATTCTCCATCCAATGCTTTTTCTGGATGTGTTCCATATTTTATTCAATGCTTTCCTGAATATCTCAAATGTTTGCTATGTGTTCCAGAGTTCATTAAATGCTTCTCTGGATGTCTCTGATGTTTGTTGTGTGTTCTAGAGTTTATTCAATGTTTTCCTGAATATCTCTGAGATTTTCCTGAGTTTATTCAATGCTTTTCTAGATATCTTTGATGTTTTCTAGATGTCATTCAATGCTTTTCTGGATGCCTTTGATGTTTCCATATGTTCCAGAGTTTATTCAACATTCTTCTGAATACCTCTAATGTTTGCTTGAATGTTCCTAATGTATTTCCCAGAATTCTCTTCATCTCATTCAATGATCTTCTGAATGCTGTGACTCTTTTTCATCCAGTTTCATTCATGGATGATGATTGTTAATTTCCCAGTGGAGCTTATTCAATGCTATTCTGGATATCTATAATGTTTTCTTGACTATCTCCGATGTCTGCTTATGCTCCAAAGTTTCATTTAATGTTCTCCTGAATACCGTTGATGATTGATACTGTTACTTTCCAAGGTTTGGTAAATGCTTTTTGAAAAACCTCTGATGACTATGACCTTTTCCCAGTAAAGTTGCTTTACCTTTTTGGATGTTCCTGTTATTCCACAGTAAAGTTGAATGCTTTCTTGGAAGCCTCTGTTGTACTCTCATATTTGGTCTCATTCCACATCTAATTTTTTTCTAGATGTCTCTGATATGTTTTCTACATTGTGTTACTTTTAGTATCTGATGCTTTCTCAGATGTTTGTATCTCTATTTAGGGTTTGTCCCTCTCTTTTCAAGTATTACTGAATACTCTTTATCACATTGACGAATGTCCATAATATCTTGTTTTCTTTGAGTTAGACTCAGTTGTCATGGAAAAGGCTAAGTTTAGCTTTAAATGATGGATTATTATTGATTGCATTTAATCACTAGCAGTTGTCATACATTTGTACATTTAAAAAGTACAAGATGCCTTAGAAGAAGAGGAATCCCGTAGGGCATTCAGGGTGCCATTGCATTTTCTAGAAAACCATTAATTTGATCAAGATTATTTGCCCTAGGATTGAAATTCCTCGAGAGAGGATATGCGAGGGGAAGAAAATCGTTGTCGGGGAGATTGTTAGTGACGCCGAGGAGGCGATGGCGAATGAAGAAGAAGACGATGAAGAGATAAAGGAGTGGGATAAGAGGCCTGAAAAAGAGACAGAATGCTCTTGTAATCTTTGTTGAGAAAATACTTTTAGCCGTTAAGGCATTTGTACTTTCTTTCCGACAATGTTTTTTAATAACTTAGCAACTGATTTCCCGTCTGCAATTTTGTTTCATCGCTATATTGACATGTGATATTGTTTCATCGCTTTCATTCAGCCACAACTTTGTTTCATTATTTTATTTATCTGTGGTTTTGTTTAATCGATTTTGTATTAAACTTTATTGTTTGAAATATATTTTTCTTTTTAGAAAATAATTTAGATTTAAAACTTCTCTTTGAAAATGTTACATACCAGTAAAAACAAAAAAGAATAAAGTGTAGAAAATAAGAAAACCAATCAGAGATTGATGATTAGTATTTAGTACCGTCTTTTCAATTTAGAAGATTTTTATTAAATTCTATCCTTTTGAAACATGTTTTAGATTACAATTGAAAAACTTTTAAAAGAGAGAATAAATATTTTAAGTGCAAAATGCAAGTAAATAACTTTTCAAAAGAAAGAATAAGTGTTTAAAGTTAGTGGTTGAATAGAGATTTCTTATCTCTTAGATCTTTGCTTTAAAGAATTGATCTCCTTTCTTTTCTCCTTTAAGTTTTGCATCATCGTTGATAATTAGATTTTATTGTTTAAATAGATATATAGCAGCAAATTCTTAAAAGTGAGATGCTTGAATTTACTTTTCACGAAGAAATCTCATATGACAAAATACTTCATTCGTCTTAAAATAAATATTATATTTGATATTTCCATAGAGATTACAAAAATGTGATATATTAAAAAGTGAGTAGTAATTTTACTAAACAAAATTCTCATTAATTATTGGTAAAATTTAATTGAAATGCGCTCACCGCTAAAAAGATTGTACACTATCAATTAATTATAGACATTAAATATAAAAAAATATTTAACTTTTATTTTAATAATTTATAAAGTAATACAAACGGATGAAAGTGATAAGTTGACAATATAAAATTTTTTATATTGTCCATGCATAATAATTAATCTCTAAAAAACACATTGAAAAGATAAAAATGATGGTTACATTAAAAATTAAGAGTGACAGTTATTCTAAAACAAATAATTTTTCAAATCAGAACATTTATATTGGGATAGAAAATTGTGAATCTCAATACTCTATATCAATAAGTATATTCATCTATTTTGAAGACGAATGAAGGTTGTCATGCATACCTTTGAAAAAGGAAAAAAGAGGGTCTCTAGGAGGCATAATTTCCTTCACAGTTGGATGGTTGAGAAATTCTTGGCTCCACTTATAAAGCTTTGGAAATTTCTCAGCATTGAATAATTTCAGCTCTATTATGTCTTGAAGCAATGGAATCCAAAATGCTACGAACACAGCAGCAATATCAACATTGTCAATCTCTTTTCCACCAAAAAACTTGTCTTTTAGCTCATTCTCAAGAATTTGAAGAGCCTCTGTTGATTCTGCAATACTCTTCTCGCGCTCTTTCTCATCAACCGTAAAAAAAGATTTGAATGAAGGAGTCACAATCTGTTCAATTCACATACTGAAATATTTAATTGTAATTTTTCTTGAGAAAGTAATCAAAATCATTATGTTTTGCAAATATTCCAAAACTTGGATATTATGTTTTCCAATTTGATAAAAGGTTTTATTATAAGGGTCGGAATAGCTGCGCCAAACTTAAGTAACTTACTTAAACATATTAAACTAAGTCATATGAATATATAAATAAATAATTTAACTAATATTTAAATATTTAAATAGATTAATAAATCTGAAAAACAATGAGACTAAATATTCGGTTGAATACTTGTATTGAAATTCTCAACTTATCTAATACCATGAATTTTGTAAAATTGTTTATTTTAGAGAATTTATAAAAACTATTTATGATATTTAAGTTTTTTCAACTTGTATTCACAAACCCTTTGAAATAACTAAACTTTATTTTAATATTTTAATTTAAATATAATAATAATAATAATAATAATAATAATAATAATAATAATAATAATAATAATAATAATAATAATAATAATAATAATAATAATAATAATAATATTTTTTATTTAAATAGGCTGTTCGAATAGATTTAAAAAGTTTCTTTTTTATCATTCCTAATCTAACATTTTTAGCTAAATAAAATTTTAAAAAAATCTTAGAGTTTTCTATTTAAAAAAAAATCAGTCTAAGATGTAGACTCCTTTTAGTTTATCTATCATATTCTTATCTTAATTATATAAACTGCCTTTAACATATTTTTCAAAACACATAATTATACTGATTAAAATTTTTATGATTACATCAATTTATATATATCTCATTTAAAGTTAGTGGAAATTATGTAAACATTAATCAATGAAAAAGATAGTGAGTTGAAGAATGTGTTGTTAAAATTATTCTTCAAATTACTTTTAAATAATATTTAAATATATTTTTTAACCATAAAAAAATTATGACTTTTTAAATTTTTTTCACAATGTTTTTTTATTCCTTTTAAACTTTATTTTTTTTTAGATTAATAATATATTTTGTTTATATAAAAACGAGTTACAAGAATAGATAAATTTTGCACATATAAAAATATAAATGAAGTTAATTCATTCAATTTATTTTAAAAATTAAATAAATAAATTTTATTATTTAATTTAAATGTATTGGATAATTTGTATAGTATATCAATACAACTCAAACAATTATAATATGAATATATTTTTATATAAAAATTTAGGATTTAATTAAAATGTACTGACAGTGTAAAAAAATTTTACCCTATCATTTAATTACAGACGTCGGATGTAAAAAGAAGTTTGACTTTAATTTTAATAATCTGGATGATGGTGATGAATTGATTGTCAATATCAGCTGATAGTAATTAATCTCAAAAATTTATTTATCATTTAACACAAAATATACAGTAGATAAATAAATAAATAAAGTCTCTTTCATTAACATTAAAATTCATTCACTCTATTCATTATCATTTTTATAAGAAGATAATTATAAACACTTTAAATTATAATATTTATTTGAAACAATTGCAAATCATTTCATGAAAAAATTACAAAAGACATATATAGTTACATTTCTTTATAATTAAAAATTAAAATTCGTTGTGATATCAAATCAAACAATGCAACCGACAATTTAAAAGCTCTAAAAAATTTACCTTGTCGTCGATGAACTTGGACCAAAATCGTGCCAAAGCTCTATGGTATGGATCAGAAGGAAAAATAGGATTATTTTTCCAAACTTCATCAATATACTCAAGAATCACAAGAGATTCTGATATCGGCTTCTCATTATGAACAAAAACTGGAACCTTTTTATAAACCGGGTTATATTTAAGGAGTTGATCACTTTTGTTGGCCAAATTTTCTTGAACAAAATTGTATTCAATTCCTTTGAATTTTAGAGCAATCTGTACTCTACATACAAATGGGCTTCCCACAACTCCCAAAAGTTTCACCTCATCCGCCATGGATTGCAGCACTTCAAGTTTTTCTGAATTTAACAAATATGTTAAGTAGTTTGTTTTGGTGTGCGAGTCATAAGGTGTTGTGGCTTTTTATAGAATTTGGAAGACGATAGTTCTCGATCTAAACGTGTGTGGTTAACAAGATGTTTGAATGAAATTAAAAAGAAAGTGGCATTATTGAATTTGATAAATTGATGTAAATAGATAGTAATATTTGTTTTAGTTGCATGATGATGAATATTCTCAATGTTTGATAACGCCGATGTAGTACAATCACTATTATCTTCTTCTTCCTTTTTTTTTTATAAATAAAAATACTTTATTAAACTAAAAACCAATTATACACAAGCGATCTCAAACCGAGATCCAACCAATAAAGAGACAAAAAAACAATTACACACAAGCGATCTCAAACCGAGTTCCAACCAATAAGGAGACAAAAGCAATAAAACAAAAAACAACCTTAAAGAATAATAAAGTATCTATAGTTTTCCTTGGCTTGATTTTCATCCAACACCTATTAATAATAATATCAATGATATAAAGTGAGATCTATGACAAACAAGCCATAATATAAAGTGAGATCTAGGTCTGACTTAATTGTTGTAAAAGATAGTCCTTCATTCCATAATCTAATGGGAGTCATTCAACTCTGCATACATCTTACATGTCTTAAAAGTATTCCCCTGCATACAATAATTCCAGTAAGTAAACACAACAACAATTAGCTTATTTACCATGAAAATTGATAAACAACCGTTGGTCTTTCAAAACACTAATTGTATTGCTTCACTTGCAGGGTCAACCCGTGAATCCTAAGGATATGGCTATGGTGTCTTATGTTTTTCTGGAAAACTTGTAGAACACTTTGACAGTATTCATTGGTTTGTAAAAATGATTGTTTGTTTGCTAGTTTGAAAAAAAAGCTAACTTTGTAAAAGTTTGGTATAGTAAAGCAATGAAGAAAAATAATTTCAGAGTAAAAGAAATGCATTAAAGAGCAATGAGTAAAAGAAAGTAAATTTCTATTGAATAAAAAGTATGGTGTTTCAAACGTACATTTCTCAACAATGACTTTTTTTCTCACGTTAACTTGGATACTTTGAGTAAATTTGAGTACTGATATTGACGGCTGATCAGAACCTAAGATGGGCCAAGAAAAAACGTCTGTGGTGCTGGGTGTGAAAGAGGAGGAGGAAGTGTACCTGCAAGGCACTCCGATGCTAAAGTAAGAAAATGAGCGAGAGAGAGGAAGTACAAAATATGTGTGTTTCAGGGTGAATATTGGATACCTGACCCTCTCAAATGAGAGAGTTTTTATAATGCCCCCAGCGCTTGGCCATTGGTCCCTATTTTCGGGGTGAGATTACTGTTTCCCGAAGAATAGGTAACTGCCAGAACTAGCCGTTGGGACGAGCAGACGTGCCCATAACTAGTCGTTGGCGTGGGCAGAGGCATAGTTATGAGCACAAGCGTATTGGTTGTTTCTGAATGGTGGAACCTGTTAGAACACAAATTGGTTCTTAATATATCTCAATGTTTTGATGATAACATTAATGAAATTTTGTATAGAGAAAATATATACTCTAATTTTGTTCAAGTGTTTTTGTTTCAGATATCAAATAAATATTCATCTAAAGACAAAAAGAATTCCTCTGAATATTATATAACGCAAAGCTCTGAGCGTAGAAAGCGCAACACAGAAGACTCTGAAGCGCTACCTACAGAAGACTCTGAGCGCAGAGTGTAACACCCCCTTCTATACCCCCAAATAAAACAATAATATATATATGCACATATAAATTTTATCAGAGTATGATTTAAAATACGGTATAGAATAAGTATGTCACATTATTACCAATAAAACACTCAATACATGCTCTATAAAAATATGCAGCAGTGGGATAATTTTCAAAGTAGAGGAACTTAGTCCTTAAACCCACGTCTCAATAGTTAAAATTAAAGCGGAAGAATAAAGCATTTGAATTACTTCAAAACATTTGATCACATAAATATATGTTATCCAGTTGTTCATCAATCATTCATGTTACAAAACATCATCAACTGATACATCACAATGTATCACAAAAGAATGCTATACAAACCTAACTACCCGGTGTTACATAATCAGAGCAGTCCGACTCAAAAGAATGAAGCTATACTTCACAAAAGAAACCTCCCACAACCTAATCTGCAATGCCTCATAGAGCATTATAAAACAGCAGAAGGGTGAGAAATATTACCATAATAATCAATGCATAAGATTATATATATACATACAAGAAACAATTACGTATAATCCACATTTCTCACCATAATTCATTTTCATCCATTATACACATCACAACATAAGAGTAACAAACATGGATAATCACCCAACACATTTCATCATGCATACATCCATAATTCTCAATTCAATACTTCACATAAAGGTAAACTTTCATTCAACATTACCCATTAATCATGTGACTCAATGCAACTCAATGCAACTCATGCCATGTGGTACCAACACTTGTTATCATTTTTCAGTTTTTACACTTAAACCGGGTCCACCCTTCTAGACCGATAACAACAAAGCTCGTCCCCTAGGCTTCAAACCCACCCTTCTAGGTTTGGTACAAGCCACTAGTCTCCACGAAACTAGCAAACATTGCCTCTTGACTAAATGATGCATATGCAATCAACCAACAAAAATGCACTTAAGACCGTTCCCGCATCTTAATCCCATGCATTCAAATAATTCATCCCTTCAAGAATTACAACATGATTGCACACACAACACATTCATAACAATTCAAGGCATTCACATTCAATACCATCATCACATTCATCAAAACAATGCACATATATCCATGATATGTTCCCATGCATTACATACATTAACATACAACAATATGCATTCACATACTTATTAGACAATACACATATATTCACTAATATGTTCTCATGTATTCCTGAGCAATTCAAACAATACACACATCACAATCTAGGATTCACGCCCAAAGGCTACCCACACTTCATCACCATAGTACACAAACTATTCATATCACATAGGATTAACATAATTGAACCAAGCAATTAATCATTGGATGGATAAAACAGAAAAGAAACAATGTTGTCCTGTTCGCCACCCTTCGCCTGGCGAAGCCATTGGCGAATGCTCGCTGGGACCTTCGCCTGGCGAACTCGCCAGCAAATAAAGTCAGTAGCTACTGACTTGTTTTGCTACCCTTCGCTGATGTACTCGCCTGGAGAACCTTCGTCACTCACCTTCGCCTGGCGAACTTGCCAGCGAAGACCACTGGGAGTTTTCTTGAATTATTCGTCAGCTATTCGCTGGGCTTCGCCCGGCGAACCTTCGCCTTCACTTGCCTGGCGAGAGCCAACGAACCTGCGATATCAGAACCCTCATTCTATCCCAAAACTTCTATCCTCTAAAAATCGACCGATTCTCACCGAACCAGTTCCAGTAATCTTAACCCCATATCACCCGACTATTCTACGACATTATTTTCAGTTTTTAATCGATTAAACAACGATTCTACGGATTAAATCACTTTTTCCCTAGATGGGAAAATGGTGGAAACTCACAACAAACCCAACCCCATCATACATAACCACATACATGGATCAAATAATAATGTTTTTCACCCTTACCTCGATTAATTGGAGCTTGAAGTTGATTCTTGATGATTTCTCCAAGTTTCCCTCTTCTCTTCTCTTTTCTCCTCTTTCTTTATTCTTTCTCTTCTATTTTCTTTATATCCAATTCTTTCCACTTATCCCTTATATACTTCTATTATTTTATTTCCTTCCCATTTCTCTCTTCAATTATCTAACAAATAAATCCAATTAATCCAAATCATTAAGATTAATTCCAATAAATCAATTAATTAACATAATTAACTAATTAATGAAATTTGGGCTGTTACAACCCTCCCCCACTTTAGGAATTTTCGTCCTCGAAAATGTTACTTGGATCAAACAGTTTTGGATAAGACTCTCTCATTTGACTCTCCAGTTCCCAAGTCACATTTCCGCCAGCCGGTCCTCCCCAATCGACCTTCACCAAAGAAATCTCTTTGCCTCGAAGTTGCTTCAACTTTCGATTTTATATCCGCATAGGTGATGCCTCCACAGTTAGGTTATCGCTCACCTGCACATCATCTGCTTGGACTACATGAGACAGATTCGCAATGTATTTCCTCAACTGAGATACATGGAACACATCATGGAGATTAGCAAGCGACGGCGGTAAGGCCACACGATAGGCCACTTCTCCTATCCTCTGCAAAATCTGATAAGGACCAATGAAACGCAGCGTCAACTTACGCGACTTCAATGCCCTACTAACACCAGTCATCGGAGTAACCCGAAGAAACACATGATCTCCCTCTTGAAATTCAAGTGCCTTCCTCCTCTTGTCATGATAACTCTTCTGACGACTTTGAGAAATCCTCATCTTTTCTCGAATCATCTTAATCTTGTCTGTAGTCTGCTGAACTATCTCGGGTCCAACTACAGAACTCTCTCCGGACTCATACCAACACAGTGGCATCCTACACCGCCTACCATAAAATGCTTTGAACGGTGCCATACCAATGCTCGAATGAAAACTGTTGTAAGTAAATTCAATCAAAGGCAAATAGCTATCACAAGCTCCTCCTTTCTCCAATACAAAAGCTCTCAAAAGATCCTCGAGTGATTGAATAGTTCTCTCAGTCTGACCATCTGTCTGAGGATGATAAGCTGAACTCAAACGCAACTTCGTACCCAGAGCACCTTGCAAGCTCTCCCAAAATCTCGAAGTAAACCTCGGATCCCTATCCGGCACAATACTAGAC